TTGAAAGGAGCCAGAAAAGGAAAAAAAAAAAAAAAAAAAAAACCTCTTCTAAATGACAAACTCAAAATAGCTGTAATTCCCTAGATTCTAATTTACATTTTTCCTGCTGTATCAGAGAAGAAGGGACAGTTCACTCTCAGTTGCTAACACAGCCACTTAAGTCACATTCAGCTTACCAAGTTTTCAGGGGAAATGTATTTACAAAATGATCCTGAGAGTGGTGGCATTAAGGCCCTGGGTTCCATTGTAGGAATGCCTACAGTCAGTACCCAGGACCAGCCCCTGACTTGCCTTTCCCGCTAAAGCAGACCTGGCACCTGGGGAGGCAGCTGGCACAACTCAACCAACCAAGTTCCTGCCACTGCAGGGAGTGATCTGGACTGAGTACCTCGCTCCAGGTCCCTGCCACACCTTGAGGTGCAGCCACTGCCCGCATTTGGGAAGTGAATCAGCAGACAGGAGCTCGCTTACTCAGTATCTATCTCTAATACAATTTAAAGAAAAAAAAATTATACTGGACAGATTTGACATGACCCTAAATTCAATTAAAATGTGCAAGATACCTGCCACACTCTCAGGAGACAAAACATCACATCTGCTAGCTTCAGTTGGTAAGGCACAAACCCTTCAAGGGTGGCGCTTTGGTGCCGGGCATTCCAGGACAGGGCTGCTCCTACAAGCCCTCTCCACCCAGGGCATTCTCACCAGGATGCCAGTGAACGGTTCACACCTTTGCCCAACCTGTGCTCTGAGAGCAGGACCAGTGCCCGCTGACAAATGTCAGCCATAAATGTAGGCCCCAGCAAACAGCTGGCTCTGGGCACGTACTGCTTCAACATGCAATACTTGGATGTTACTGCAAGTTTATAGAGTATCGACGTACTTGGGCTTGGCGTTGTGGCTCAGCAGGTAAAGGCTGTGCTATGGCACCAGCATCCCATATGGGTGTCAGTTTGTCTCCTAGCTGCTCCACTTTCCACACAGCAGTCTGTTAATGTGCCTGGGAAAAGTAGAGGAACATACCTCAAGCATGTGGGCCCTTGATACCCATCTGGGAGACCTGGATGAGTCTTCTGTCTCCTGGCTTTGGCCTGATCTAGCCCAAGCCATTGCACTTCATCTGGGAAGTGGACTTCCACTTCTAACTTTTTCAAATACATAATGCTTTCTAAAAAGTGTCTTACTCAGTGAGACTTCTCTGCCTTCAAGCCTATAATTGAGGTAGGACACAGTTCATACCTCATAGGATTTCTCTGTTTTGGAACCAGATAGCTCTTAGGAAACATAAGGTTGACAGGACAAAAGCAAGATAGGTCATCAACTCAGATGGGTTTGAAGGAAGAGGGAAGAGACACTTGAAAACAAAGACAAGTGGAAGAGAGGGAAGGAGAAAGGAAGAAACCATCCCACTGTGTCCTCCACCTTTGGAAAAATCCCTTGCTGACCCCAGGGCCCAGGCCAGGCTCTAAGAAACCTGAATAAAGACTGAGGGCTGAAGATAAGGAGGGTGGGGAGGCCTCGAAGCAACTTGTCCAGAGATTACAGAATGCTAACAAGGAGAAGTGGGTGGCAGCCCTGAGGGTCCCGGTCCCGCAGCAGCCCTTGGGCCCTGCCAGTGCCACTGGTCATTTCCACGCCTGAACAAGAGGCCAGCCTCTGACACCCTTTCACCTTGCCTGTCAGGCATTCACCGTGGCAGTTCCCCTGCAGTACTGTACTCCCCTACAGCACGGCCATGGACGACCTGCCAGCAGTACAGAACCCCCTCTCCTGCTGCCCTCCTCCTCCTCCCCCGCCAGTGAACGCACTCACCATATGTGTGAGTCCCAGACAGCTTGCCTGGGGCAAGTCCAAGCAGAGGATGGGCCCCAACGGGCTGCCCGATCTGAACACCCAAGGCCATGTGCAGACACAGGCTCCTCCGAAGAGCAGCGGGAGAGACAAGAGGTCCGCCCGGCCGGGACCCAGTCACCCTCCTCCGGGAGCCTTTTGGGCAGTTCTCAGCGCTGGCTTGCTGGGGCAAATCCTCCTACTCCGAGCCGTCCCAGGAGCACAATGGCTTACGTAACCACAGGCAGCCTGGGAACCCTATCGGCTCATCTTGTTCAACCACCCCAGACAGCAAATGACGCACCCCAAAAGGTGACACCTCTAGGTCGGGATGGGCTGCAGGGGGAGCATGACTAGGGGAGAGGGAGCAATACAGGGACTGGGACGGGGGAGCATGCAGCTTTGTCTGGCAGGCAAAGGGAACAAACGTCCGCTGTTCCTTCTGGGACTTGTGGGGGACCCGGGGGCGGGTGCATTCACCAGGAGCTGCAAGCCAGGCAGTGTCCCTGGACTATGCTTAGCACCGTCCTGGGAGTGCATGGACGTTTTTCTGAGGACACGCAGGCCGCCCCGGGAGTTCCTGTTCCCGGTGCACCTCCCTTCCCAACGACCACCAGACACGGCTTTCACTCAGCACCCACGACAGCTGCCCCACACTGTCCAATGCAAGCTAAGCTGGGCTTCACTCCTGTTTCTTCAACACAACACAGAGACTCATTTCTGCTCACTGCAGTCATCCCAGCAACAGCCTTGAGCGACCACGGCCCATGGGGTCCCCCAGAGCCGTCAGCGATACATCCCGCCATTGCTGAGGCCCCGGGCTGTCACTTTCATAGCAACACCACTTTCCCAGCCCGGATGTGCTAAGTAGGTACTGATTCTGCTGGCTTCCAAGGGGTCAGTTCACATGTCTGCACAGCTGGCGCTGCAGTTGGGACATCGCCTCCTTCAGGAAGCCCCTTCCCCTGGAATACTCCCACCCTTACAGGTGCCTCCTGGGTGCCCATCCTCCAGTCACCTGTCAGCTGTGTCCTCAACCAGACTCCCCTTCTGGGCAGCAGAGAACATGTGTCTTCCAGGCTAGTGCAGTGGCTCTCAGAACCCACGTTCTCACGTGCACAAGGGGACAACGCCACCCATTCCATGGGGCCACAGCACCAGCAAAGTGACCATTTATTCACCTGACACAGGTTCACTGGACCCCGGGCCCTGGCAGGTGCTGTTTTGGTCACTGGGATCCAGGGGTACATGACACGGGAGGACTTAATGTGCTATTGCAAGTGTTACTGATGACGTACAAGCACTTAGGGCTCAGGGGATGGCTGGGTCTGGGACAGGGGAGGCAGGAGGGGAAAAAGGTAGCAGGAGCTTTTTCTGGATCTGACTGCAGAGTTCATGAAATCCCACTGGGGACAAGGGAAGAAGGGCCATGGGGACCGCTGTGGTTGGGGTGACCCAGGCTGCAGGTGGCAACAGAAACAAAAGCCCTGGGGAGTGGAGTGGGCAATGCAGGGGACAGTCAGCAGGTGATGTGGGGATGCCCCATTACAACAAACCCTGGGAGGCCACCAGGAGGAAACCCTATGGAGGCCACCTCCACAGGTCAAGTTAAAGCCTCTGACTTCGCAGGGATAAAGCCAAGCCTCACAGTTAGGAGCCCCTTAGGGATACAGCAGGAGCCCCACAATGTCCCAGGAACGAGAGAGGGCACGCTGAACCCCAAGTATGGACCAAGAAGACTCTGGCAGAAGCACAAGAAACAGGCCAGCCCCCCCGACCCCGGCCATGCTCTGAAGAGGGAATAGGCAGGCAGGCTTTTTGGCAACCCAGTAGGCAGGACCGGGGTGGGATGTGAAGGACAGGTGGAGATCACGAATGCCTGTGAGGGGTTCTGGCCCTGGTACCTCCCTGGAATGCCGGAGAACATGAGCAATGCTCACAAAGGGGCCAAGAACCCCGGGCGAGGCAGGCAGGTGGAAGCAGTAACTGGGAGATGGGGTTTGGGCAGCACAGGCCTGCGGGGCCTGCAGGGCTTCAAGTGGCAAACATGGAACATAGAGCAAGGCTGAGACAAAGACTGGAACAGATGCCCGGCCTGAGCCAGGTCCTCAGGGCTGTAGCAGGCACTGTTTGCACGGGATGTGAGAGAGCAGGGAAAGGACTTAGCAAACAGAGACCAGGCCACAGTGCTGCAGGAGGAAGCAGTGCAGAGAGGGGAGAGGATGGCCTCTTTGCAGGGAAGGGGGAACAGGAAAGACCCCAGAGAGTGGGTACGTCAGGCAGCAGGCAAGTAGAACAGAGCTCAGTGTCCACGCGGGGGACAGCATGTGGCCCACTCAAGGGAGGAGGGCAAAGGTCTCTGGCATAGGGCCCGGCATAGGGGTCAGCTCAGGCTGGGGTCCCAGGCCTGCCCCATGCCCCTCTGCAGCCAGGGAAGGCCGGAGACACAGGAAGCCCCCCAGGCACACATGGTGGTCCTCCACCGTGAAGCCTCCGTGGAAGCAACTGTGTCCATGTCACACCCTTGCTGGGCACTCTTTCAAACAGGAGGACAAAAACAGCCGCAAACAGTACAAAATACGTCCAAGTTCTCTACGAATGAGAACGGGATTTAACTGTCATCATGCTCCCTGCTGCTGCTCTACCGCCATTCTTCCAGTCCCTCTCTGGAGCCCTGGTCCTGCAGTGACGGCCTTGGACTGCCTCACACCCGTGCTGCCAAGGTGGTCATGGATGCGAGGGCCTCATCCTGTTCCCGGGACACCAGGATGGTGACACATCCTGATGGAGCATCCAAGCCGCTGCTTTCTGTGCCCCACGCTGGCACTGCGTGTCACGTTTGCCGCACCCACCGAGTGTCTGGAGACAAACCCCAGAGCTCAGAAAGAGGAGGAAGGGACTGTACAACACCGAGTATCTGCTATAGGCCGTGCCTGTAGCTCAGGGTTCAAGGTTGTCATCTTGGACCATCACGGCCATTCTAAGGGCTGGCTACAGCTCAGACGGTGCATCATTGGCCCAACAGTCACAGCAGGTTCCAGCTGGGAGGCCTCTGAGTCCTGAACTTCATACCTGCCTGTTCTCTGGTGACTGCACGGCACATACCTCCCCGAGTCCTCGCCAGTGGTAACCCCTCTCCCCCCTGCTCAGCAGGGAGAAGGTCTCCATACCTGTAATGGTGCAGGCATCCCGGTATCCTCTGTAGCTGGGAGCATCTTCCACTGCCTCACTGATGTAGAGTTCCTCGGGGAGGCCCGGGCTGCAGGCTAGGACTGCATGGCTGCAAGTCTCCGAAGGCGGCACGGAGCTGGCCAAGGTGTCGTCGTGCGGAGCTGTGGCGTCCAGCTTGGCAGGTTTCACGGGGAGCTGCCCACTGCCATCGGGGGCCCCGCTGCCGGAGTCCGGGGCAGTTGGGCAGGTGGGCCCCAGGAAGTCTGGCACTCCAGTAGGGACTCCTTACAGGGAACCTGCAGGGTAATCCAAAGAGAAAGAAAGAGGAGGGACTCGGTTACTCAGAACCTAGAAATAAACCTGCATAGAAGCCCCAGGACAGAAGAGGCTCCCCCGGGTGATGCAGTTCCAACTGCACCATGTGGGAAACATTTGAATGCAGGCACTACCCAATGACACCCCTCAGGTTCAGCAGATGAAAGGTGGGGAAGCCCGCTCGGCTGCACAGGGGTTGAGGGAGACCAGAAACGTGGAGCTGCCATGACTTCATCTGCCCCACTGCAGCCTGCCTCGCTGCAGCTGCCAGCAAGGAGCCGAGCAACCACAGCTGGAACGGTGGGCCCTAACTGGAAACGAGGACATCAGGCTGCGCCAGGCCACCGCGACGTGCACAAGGACAGCTGTGGCTGTACGTGGTGAGCAAGAGACAAAGGGACACAGGGCCACGGGATTAGCATACACGAGGTGCAGAGATGCAGTGACTTAAAAACTGAACTCGGTAAGAGGTGATGCTTCTCTTGACCCCCATGCGACACCCTCAGCCCTCTGAGAACTTGAAGGTCTGTCTCCCTGAATTGAAGTTGACAGTACAAAAAAAATAACAAATAATAATAATAATAATAATAATAATAATAAGGGCACTCCTCTGGAAAAAAAAAAAAAAAAACTACAGACCTTACTTCCAAAAGGAAAAAACAACAGCAACAACAACAAAGCCACGTGCAGTTGCACAAGCTCCAGGGGAGCTGAGCTGAAGACCCCCAAGGCGAGCAGGCAAGCCCTCTCCAGGCCTACCACAGGCCTACCCAGCCATCTACGTCCCTGTTCAGAACTTGACTGAGGGGCCCGCATTGTGGCTCGGTGGGTTAAGCTAGCCACCTGCGGCGTGGACATGCTATATGAGCACTGGTTCAAGTCCCAGCTACTTCCACTTCTAATCTAGCTCTCTACTCATGTGCTTGGGAAAGCAAGAGAAGATGGGTCAAGTGCTTGAGCCCCTGCCTCCAGGTGGGAGACCTGGATATAGTTCCAGATTCCTGGCTTTGGCCAGGCTCAAGCCCTGGCTGTTGCAGCCATTTAGAGAGTGAACCAGAAGGCAGAAAATTCTTCTCTTGCCCCTCACTCTCTGTGTGTAGCTCTGCCCATCAATTAAATAAATAAATCTTTTTTTTTTAAAGAATGTTTCATACGCAACAGATCTTTCCAGAAAACTGTTGGAAAAGGGATGGTGTGTGACACAGGCCACTGGGGACTCTGCTCTGCTCCCTGAATAGCAAACCTAGAGGCAGGCGACTTCTGCAAACAGCTCAGGGGAGCGCCACTGCCTCAGGAATCAGTTTCCTTTGCCATGGCAGCCCCGCCCACCTCCATGCCCACAGCAGGTGTGCGTATGCACACACACCCAGCAACAACAGCACACGGGAACTGAATGAAGAAGACAGGAAGCCTATCAAACGCCCTTTACAGCAAGAGATCTCCAATGAGGTCTGGGAACCCCTGGGATATCACCATCATTTTCACCACCACCAGGCCACGCTCCAGATCCACCCAATCGGGGATGCTCGGCTCTGCTGCACAGCTCAAAGGCCAGCATCTCCAATCTGATTTCCCCAGGAAATCCTCCTCCACCCACAGTCCCTACAGCACCTCTGCACACTGTGCGCTCTGGGACACGAGCCCCAGGCTCTGTCCTTCCATTCCGCCTTACCAGTTCCCCACACAGCGCAAATCCCTTACAAGCACAGGCTGTCCTGGACCACAGTAGGTACTAAGAAAATGCTAGCAATATACAAAATATGAGGAGTGAATAATTGAACAAATCAATGAAACGAATGAAGGGCCTTGACCCTTATGACCTTGAGAATCCCCAGAAGCTGCAAAGCTGTGGTTCTGGAATCCATACAGAAAGCGGGAGGGCTAAACTTTTCAACTATTCACTGCCAGTCGTAGGGGGTGAACTGAGCACAATGGGACCCTGCCTGGCACACATCTGCGATTTGCAGCCACGCCCCAGGGCTCTCTTGATGGCTTCCATGTAACTCCGCTTTAACTGGCATACACCAGCTGTGATTCATGGTCACATGGGTAAGATGACCCACGCTCAATAATCCGAGGGTCAGGAAGCCTCAGGTGTAGCTCACTGGAAGGCAGGTTTCAGCCTGAAGCGAGAGGTATGGTGCATGCCCTGTCCAGGTGGGGGGGGGGGGAGGAAGGAGCCCAAAGGGAGAAGGGAGGGGTGCGACCCTTGTGGCACGGCTGCTGTGACAGTCCTCCTCACTCCATGGCATGGATTAGCATTGTGACACACCCCTGCATTTTCTGCTGAGATCTCAGGATCTCCAAGAACTCCAAGGTCAAAAGCAGCAGAACCAGGCATCCACTGGGCACAAAAACAAAAAAACAACAAGAGGCTGCCCAGCACACAGACCCCACAGTTCCCAGGATCCCCTTGGGGAAGAACGGAGAGACATGGGCTCTAGTTGTCCAGGCTGTGAAACCCTGGCATACTCCTCTGCCGGACAAAGCCCACACCTCTGACCAGCCTGGATCAGTGACACGAATGGCAACAGAGCCTGGCACACGGCCAGTGCTCAGATGTGTCTGAGATAATATGGATAACAGATGCGTCCTTTGGTGCGGACATATCCTGAAATGCAGGCACAGTGAAAGGACTTTGGGGAGTTTGTGAAAAATGTAAATCATGAGCCCCTGTTCATGTTCTGGCTAGTCCACTTCCCTGTGGCCTGGCAAAACAGTTGAGGACAGCCCAAAGCTGTGGGACCCTGAACCCGCATGGGAGAACCAGAAGAAGCTCCTAGCATCGGATCAGCCCAGCTCCGGTCGTTGTGGCCACTTGGGGACTCAAACAGTAGATGAAAGATCTTTTTCTGTATCTCCTTCTCTCTGTAAATCTGCTTTGACAATAACACCAAAATAAATTTATCTTCTCATTTCATCTTTCATGCACTTTTTAATTTTTTTTTGGGGGGGGCTTACCCTGGTATTGATCACCCCCTTTGAAATTATGAGAATGTTCCTGCCATCACACGGAGTGCAAGTCTTCTACATGACACAGCACGTATGTATCACTGTGAGAGCACCAACCTTTGCTGGAAGCTCATGGTGTGTGCCAGCCCCCGTGTCAGGTGCTCTAACTCAAGACGCAACCCCCCCCCCTACCATCAGCACCACTTCCCTCCTGGCCGGATACTGTTACCAGCTTCATTTTACAGTTGAGAACAAACAAGGCTCAGAGAGGTCCAGCAACTTTCCAAAGGCCACAGAACCAGCCAAAGTGAGGATGCAATTCAAAAAGGGGTTCATGGCGCCTCGCTGTGTGCTGTGCCTTTCACCTGCTCCTCGCCTGACAGCCACAGGTCCTCTGACACTTCCCACGGGCTCAGCAGCCAGGGGACTGGTGCCATGGATGTACTATGGCACACCAAGCCAAACAACAGATGGGACTCAAGTGGACAGGGAGTGGGGAGGGCCCTGGCAGGTGAATGCGCCTCTGTTGGATTTACTCAGCGCCGCCTGGGGAGGCTACAGGAAAGCAGGATTCTTCCCAGCAGAGGAGTGAGAAGAAATTCTGCAACCTGCGTGGTTTCTCAGCCAACAGAGGTGCCAGGCAAAGTAGGACAAAGCACACACAGAGGCGGCTTTGCAGAGAAGCTCAGAGAACTCTCCCGCCTTGCACCTGGAGCCCTTGGCCCAGGGCCCCAGCTTCACCCTTCTTTCTCAATGCCACGGTCAGCAATTCCAAGGTACTCGACAGGCTGGTCCAGTTTATTCCAGTTTGTGGCTGAGCTTGAATTTGTTCACAAAGTACATGCGTGAGTTTGTAAGATTTTTTCTCCTCCTCGATGGTGTGCCCTGAAACTCCAAAGAACCTGCGACACCGAGGAGCTGGTACCACTCTTCCGGGCCTAGCAGCCCTCATCCAGACAAACAAGGGATTGAAGGAGCCCCATGAGGTGCCTGCCAGCTATAGTGCTTCATGGTGGGGCATGGCAGGGCATGGTGAGGTGCTTCATGGCAGAGCAGGTAGAACCGTGGAAGCACAGGTGGGCTTCTGCCTCCCACGCAGCCCCTCTCCACCCTCCCCAGCATGAGCCTGCCTCCTAGTGGGAGACCCAAGTGGCACAGAGCAAACCACCTTTTGTGAGCCCAGTCATTCTCCACAGAGGAAAAAGGAGACCTCCTCCAGGAACTGTATCAGAGGCAGTGAAAAAAGCGCCAGAACCAGGGCTCCAGGTCGGGGGCTAGCGGGTGACAAGGAGACACCAGTCCTGGGTGCTCCATCTTGGACCAGTCACATGCCTGAGCTTTCAGGGTACCCCTCTAAGGGCAGAACCATCGATAAACATGTGTTCTAGGATCTTACTCAGCGATCTGAGCCAACAGGGCCAAGAAAGCAAACGTTCCAAAAGGATGAAACTCTTCTTCAGGGTCCTGTGACATGTCTCTCACTGTCCCCATGGATGACCAGAGATTTTATAGCAGCTTGACCTAACGCTGGTTTACCAACTGACAACTCTACACATCAGAAGAACAATGGGGGGATCTGCCCTGAACTCTAGTATAGCACATAAAGCCACTGCCTATGATGCTGTTATCCCATAGAGACACCTGTTCAAGTCCCAGCTGCTCCACTTTGGATCCAGTTCCCTGCTAGTGCACCTGAGAAAAGCAGCAGAAGATGGCCCAAGTACTTGGACTCTGCCACTCATGTGGGAAACTTGGAGACATTCCTGGCTCCTGTCTTTAGTCTCACCCAGCCCCAACCATTGCAGCTATCTGGAGAATGAACCAACCAATAAAAGATGTCTTTCTCTCTCTCTCTCTCTCTCTCTCTCTCTCTCTCTCTCTAGCTTTGATAGCTTTGATTTTCCAATAAATAGATAAATCTTACCCAAAAAAGAAGAAGAAAGGAAAAGAAGAGACGTGCAACATGGCCCACACCAGGCTCCCTCCAAGGTGTCCACAGGACTGTGTTCCTTCCCATA